AATTGAGATTCATGTGGGAGATGGACCTTTAGACATATCTGTGGGGGATTAGCATGATTGCATTGAGTAGGAAGCCCAGTGTGGGTGGGATCATTCCCTGGCAGGGATCCTGGAAGGCATAAGAAAAGGAGTTGAGCAGCCCACTCTCTTCATTGCTTTCTTCTGATGATGATGGACATGATGTGACCAATTGAGATTCATGTGGGAGATGGACCTTTAGACATATCTGTGGGGGATTACCATGATTGCATTGAGTAGGAAGCCCAGTGTGGGTGGGATCATTCCCTGACAGGGATCCTGGAAGGCATAAGAAAAGGAGTTGAGCAGCCCACTCTCTTCATTGCTTTCTTCTGATGATGATGGACATGATGTGACCAGCTGCTTCAAGCTTCTGCTGCCTTGACTTCCTCCAGTATGATAAATACCCTTGACTTGTGAGCTGAAATAAACCCTTTCTCCCGTAAGTTGCTTTCATCAGAGGATTTTATCACAGCACTAAGGGAAGAAATCAAGACACACCTATGCCACATTCAGACAATTTGGAATGCCTCTGTCTCTGGACAGTGGCTCAAGCTGGGATTAGTCAGCCTTACTCTTTGCCAACTGGTTTTCCTCAGATGATAATTTCTCAGGTTTTGTACAAACTCTTCCAGAGCACCACTTCTGCCCTACTCTCCTGCTGTAAAAAGATACACATTATAGTTACTTTCATATGAACAGAATAAAATATATTCTGTGCAAGAAATGAAAATGCTTAAAAACAAGTTTTATCTGAGCTTTAAAAGATTACTTAAATAAAAAATGAAGGAAAAACAGCAACCAATTACTGAGAGCACAAACAGCAGTTGAGGTCAGAAATCCCAGATAGATTGTTTGAAGAAATTAATGGTGTCAGAACAAACTCTGAAATTCAGAGGAGAGGGAGAAAGAGAGAAAAAGAGAGTGAGAGAGAGAGCAAGAGAGTAAGAGAGCACACACACTTGAGAGAGAGAGAGAGAGAGAGAGAGAGAGAGAGAGAGAAACTAATAAAAAGTGAAAAAGAGGTGGGGGCCCAGTTCAGGAGCCAGGGGTGGAGGGTGGCAAGGAGCAGGGAGATTATAGAAGAGTCTCAGAGTTGCTGGCAAAGGTGACATACTTTATTATCTCCAGGAGAGAAAGAGAGAGCATTTGCCAGTGGTCCCAAGGACATTTTATAAGAAATAACCAGAAAGGCCCTTCTTACTAAAACATCGTTATATAATAAGCTTCATAACAGCCATATTTACTGTGCACTCATCGTCCCCTGGACATCTGGTAGTGACCATCTTAACTGAGTGACCTTAGAAGTCCACACTGTTGCCATGTTACTTAAACCTTCACTTGGCCCTCACAGCCTTTATTGCCTTCAAAAGAGAAAGAATAATTTCATATAAAACATAGTAATTTCAAAACTGAATCAATGCAGTGTGCAACTGCATATGAATAAATTTGAAACTAATTGTAACTCCATTTCACTTATGCATATAGACCCAAAAGTCATGAAATTTTTCACTGACACTAATTATTGGCTTATTGAATTCAAAACTGGTTAAAAATAATACTATGAAAATAGTACTAAAATAAGATGATTGAATAGAATTTACTCCAGGAATGCAAAGGTGGTTCCACAGTAGGCAATCTACCAAGGTAAATGACCTCATTAATTCAATAGATATAGTGATAGCATTTAATGAGGTTCAAATACATTAAAAGTTCAATGCAAATTGGGAATGCAGTTGACATGCCTTGATTTTAAAAGGTCACTTAACAAAAATTCTACAGCAAATATCATACTTTAAAGTGAGCTTCAAGGAGGTTTCCATTCACATCAGAAACAAGCACATGTATGCTTTAGCTAGCTAGTGTTCCAGTCGGTTCTATAAACATACTCATCACACTTAGACAAGTAAAAGAATGTACATAATATGATGAGAAAAGACAAAATGCTCATCTTTGCAAGCAATAAGTTTATCTTCACAGATAAATCATGAGAACCAATAAACTATTAGAATTCATCAGAGAGTAGAGTGATTTTCCAGATGTACAATAAAATATGAAAATGATTAGTCTTAATCAACTAGAAAATAAGATGTCACTCATAACAGCTAGGAAGTGCAAATTATCTAGAAATGAATTTAATAAAAATGAATGATTTACACTGAAAACTTTCTAAATATTCCAATATATGAGAGCCTTCATACATGAAACTTATTTGATTTTCTTGTATGGGAAAAAGATGTACCTAGAAATTATGATTAAAAACAAAATAATGTTAGCATCTGACAAATGTCATTTGAAGCAAAAAATATTTCATGGGGCCATAGAGGTTTATCACACATGAATAAATAAGCATTGTTCATAAAGTAAAAGTCACTGTGAATATTGTACTTTGAGCTTTGAGCAGTACTGTCTCAAAATACATCAAGAAAAAACTGAAAGAACTCCAAAGAATGATCTACATAGCAAATGCACTTTTAAGAATAATGTGTGCTGAGCTTTATTAACTCTAAAAACTTATTCTAAAAGTCATATTGAAGAATAAAATTTCAAGCAGCCTTAGTAGAGTAAGAAAAAAGCAAAAATGGAGTAAGTATGTCTTACCTAACCTCAAATCAAACCTTCGCACTGTTAAGTGCAAAGGGTTCAGTGGGTAAAGTTCTTGCCATGTAAGCCCCAGAAACCTAAGTTTGAATCCCCAGAACTCATATAAAGTCAGAAGTGGTAGCACAGGACTGTAATTCCAGCACTCCCGCTGCAAGCTGGGAGGCAGAGGGAGGAGAATGCCTGGAAGCTCTTGGACCAACTAGAATACATAGGCAAACGAGAGACCCTGCTCAGACGAGATGGAAGGTGAGGACCAATAGCTGAGGTTAACTTTCTTTAAGGCGTTAGGATACCCCTAGCATCTAGCATCTTGTATTTCTTTACTTTTTCTCTGAAGCTTCCTTCTCCTAGCTCTAAACCTACATGGCTTCATGGCTTTCTTTCCTTCTTCCCACCATTCACCTCCTCAAGGCAGCTGCCAAGATTACCAGCTCATCTGCCTTAAATATTTTTCTTTAAGATGCTAATAAAATTGTGAAAGCTTTCATTTGGGTCCATTCTTAAATTCTTTTATGAATGAGACTAAGAACGCTCTAGAGGACCCTGTTCCTCCCTGTTTCACTTTCATCATCAATTGCATTTTTATAGACTTATCTACCACAAAAAAGAAGAAAAAACTATGACAAAGTTAAAGCAAGAAAAACAATGAGCATTATATCCTTTTTCATGACATGTTTGTCTCTTTGCTGTACTCCATCCTTCCTTGTTACCTAATATCCTTTCTCCATCTCCTTTCGACACACTGTAGGATACCCACACTTATGGATGTTTATATGTTAATATCTCTATAGTATAAACTAGGATCTGTAGATGAGGGAGAACATGCATTTTTTTCTTTTTTTAATCATTAAAGTCTTATTTTAAAATTAATGAACTTGAAAATTGTAGAAGTAGTAAATACTTATTTTGCCATTCATAAACACTGTAAAAGTGTAGAGTAGAAATAGACACTTACGCATTTTTAATAGTACACACAGTAAATATTTTTGAACATGCATGTTGAGACTTGATATGTATATTTCTGTTTGAGGCAGAGATACTTAGCTGTTTCAACTACTTCTCCCCTTCCAATGTTTTAGAACTTTTTAGTGGGCATACAGTTGTGAGGCAGGCAAGCATAGGGAATAGCTTAGCAACTTCAGACTCCACTTGGCTTGGGTTAATGACAAACCCCTTTCTGAACAATGCACCAAGGAATTTGTTATCAACCTAGGAGCCCAACCTACGCTGAGCTGCATGTATACCTCCTTTAAAAAATGGTGATACATTATTCCATAGCAACCCATTTACTAACTCTTCATTTCTATCCAAACATCTTGAAACACTATCTAGAAACTGTGAGAAATGGGTCAATCCAGACTATACTGGTTTTGGATGTATGTACAATAAGGCAAAACTGTGCCCTGTATTAGTTACTTTTCTGTTGCTGTAATAAAACACTGTGACCAAGGGAACTTAGAAGAAGAATTTATTTGAAATTATACTTCCATGTACCAGCGGTACTAGAGTCTGTCATAATGAGGATGCATGGTGAGGTGGCTGGAACAGGAGCAGAAAGCTAAGAGCTCATGTCTTCAGACAGATACTGGAAGCAGCATGTGACTAGAAATCAGAGAGAGAGAGAGAGAGAGAGAGAGAGAGAGAGAGAGAGAAAGAGACTAGTAATCTCACAAGGCTTAAGAATGCTCTAAGCCTGACCTCAGTGTTGCACTACCTCCAGTTAGACCACCCTCCTAAAACCTCCCAAAACAGCTTCACCAAGTGGGGACAAAATGTCCAAATACTTGGAGCCTATAGGGGACATCCTAATTCAAACCACCACAGTCCCCAAGTAAACTTTTAGGGATAATCTATTTATCATCCTATGCATAGCTAAGTATGTGTATGAATAAAATCAGATATATTATGGGAATGGACATACTCAGTGGGCAAGGGCTTACATAATCCAAACCTGTGCTTGCTTCGGCAGCATATATGCTAAAATTGGAAGGATACAGAGAAGATTAGCATGGCCCCTGCACATTTTTTTCTTACTGAGTTTAGATGATCTTGCTTAATATTATAAACGTGGTGTCCATTAATATATATGTCCATTATTATTTTTTCTTTTTAAAAAATATTTTATTACTTTTATTTTATATGTATGAGTGTACTGCCTGCATATACCTAAGTGCACTCATGATGTGCAATGCCCACAAAGACTAGAAAAAGGTGTCAGATTCCCCTGGAACTGGAGTTATAGACAGATGTTAGCCCCCATGTGGGTCCTGAGAATCAAAACTAGAGTAGCCAGTGCTCTTAAGAGCTGTGCCATCTCTCCAGCCCTATTTTGTTTTTCTTTACAGTTGAAAAATATTCCATTTTTTACATGTACCACATTTCCATTATCTATTTATCTGTGAATATCTAGGCTGGTTCCATTTCTTTACTATTATAAATATGGAAGCAATAAATATTGAGGCGCAAATATCTCTGTGGCAGGATTTGAAGATATCTCGGTATATGTCCAGTAGTGGACTATCTGAGGCTGTTTTTAATTAGCCAGGTATGGTGGCACATGCTTTTAATCCCAACACTCAAAAGGCAGAGGCAGGTATATCTCTGTAAGATCCAGACCAACCTGGTCTACATAGCAAATTCCAGGTCAGCTGAGGCTACAGGAAGACCTTGTCTCAAAAAGACTTTAAAAAAAAAAGGTTTAGAAACCATGATTTTCATATTGGCTGTAGTAGTTCATCTTCCCTCTAGCAGTGAATAAGGGTTCCTCTTTCTCCACATCCTCTTCATCATTTGTTGTAATATTTCTTAATAATAGCTATTCTGATTATGATTAAGTAATGTCTCAAAGTAGTTTTAATCTGCATTTCCTTGATAACTAGGGATACTGAGCATTTTTTAAAGTGATTATTATCCGTTTGTGTTTCCTTTTTTGAAAATTATTCATTAGCCCATTTGTTGGTTGATAGTTTTATTTCCTTGATATTTAATTTCTGAAGCTCTTTGTAAATGCTGGATATTGGCCTTTTGTCCAAACTATAGCTGGTAAAGATTTTCTTTCATTCTGTAGACTGTGTGTGTGTGTTCTGACGGTTTCCTTTGCTATACAGAAACCTTTATGTTTCATGCAGTTCCATTTGTTGATACTTGGGCCTGGTGCTTGTGTATGCTCTATTGAGAACATTCTCACCTAACCCAATGTCTTTATTAAGGCCAGCACCACAACCCATGAGTGCAACTCCCATTTAGTGTGGGTCTTTACCTACTCTAGAACTTTCCCTGCAGACATGCCCTCTGGACTGTCTCCTAAATTATTCTAGATCTTGAGGAGTTAACAATCAACTTCAACCATCACAGTGTTTTGTGGGATCAACTCCCAGACCCTTCAAAGAAACCAAATTCATGGATGCTCAAATTTCTAATATTCTGGAAATGGAAAGCGTTTACAATGTGATGGTAATTAACAATTTTGGAGCAGGAAAAACTCTGAGACAAGAAATAGGTATGGGGGAGATGAGCAGGATCCCCCCCACCCCCACCCCCTGTGGTTTCCCAGGATGGAAGTCTTCATTTTCCAGTTTTCACATTCCTGTAACCTTTGCAGCCTTGTTACCTTGCTTAATTATCACATGTACCTGTTTACTTAATTGTCATCCATGTGCTGTTTTGTTTTTTGCTCGCATTTCCTAACATGAATATAAAACACATTTCCCCAGAACTGGAAGCGACCACTGACTCCCTTATGGAAGGATCCTTGGGTCAGTCCGTTTAGCATGAAATTATTAAACTCCCTCTCCTCACTTAACTTTGGCTGTTGATCTGATTTTTCCGTAACATTTCTACAACTCTGTATAGTATTTTCATGGGACCTACACATATCTTTCTCTGCACTTTAAATCATCTTTTGATACTCATAATACCCAACAAAATGCAAATGCTTTGCAAATAGTTATACTGTGTTGTTGGTTGTAGCTCAGTGATAGAATATCTGCTTAGCATGTCTAACAGGACTCAATCCTTATCATTGGAATATATATATATATATATATATATATATATATATAGTGGAGGCTTGCACAACCCAGTAAACTGCAGCATGCCATGACTAAGTCCTCTTGATCTGTAGGTATAAACATAAATTTAGGCAGCGGTTTAATTGCATGTCAATTTATCAAAACAGATATAGTGAGTTCCCCACTAGAACCTATGGCCTCCTGTCTCCTGATTAGCCAGTTCCTCCAATGGGTGGGGCCTGCTGCAGAGTATGAACTATGGGGGTTGTGGCTGGGAGCCAGGGGGTCCAGCCAGAGAAGCCGTGAGCTGTGGGGAAGTGTGCCACCCACACACAAAAGCTGGAAGACAGAATGGGCTTTTAGGACCTGGAGCGATTGATGGCCCCAGAGGCATGAGCAAACTATGGGCATGGCAAGGTCTGATAAGGTGGGCTCTGAGTGCGGGGCTAGGCACTGGGTACTCATTCCTTTGTAAGTTAATAAATACACATAAAATATATTATATGGCTTGTCTGATTGTGCAGGAGACCCAGAGAGAATTTGGGCCACAGAATCGTCTTAGTCTGACAGGATATGACAAAACTGAGAATGAGTTTTAGAAGAGTGCTAATGGTGGTGTTGATGTGGTTTTTGCAATGGTTACTAAAAAGAGGCCAGGCACACAAAAGCAGGGGCCACAGCTATGTTGTAAATGTGGGGATATTTTGCGGGTATGTGAAGATTTGTTAAAAGTTACCCAAAGGCTAGAAAATCTTTTACTTGCTCTAGACTCAAACGGAGTGCCCAAGAAAGAGAGCGGCCACTTTGCATTATAAAAGATATGCCCCAGACAGGAGAAGCTAAAAAGGCTGCACTGGCAAATCCAGTTGCAGAGCTGGAGAGAGAAAAAAGGCGGGACACTTTGACTTGTGTAAAGTGCAAGGACTCAGAGAAAAAGACAGAAAATGGTAAAAAGGAAAAAAAGCTAACTGTACTATAGCTAGGAAACATTCCATGCTAGAACTGTTAAAACTAGGAAAAACTTACAAGCAAGCAAACAAAGAGCCCCTGGCCACATGGCTTGTGAGAGTATGGATGACGTTCATATTGCTAGAAGGCTCTATACAGATGGTTGGGGGAGAAAGGATTCCCTATAAGTCTACTCAATGATGGACCCCATGTGCTGCACACTAAGGACATGCCAAGCAATATCTGTAAGTGCAATAACAGCTCAACCACATACATACAACTAACAAATTTCTAATTGGATAAGGCCCGCTCCTAGGGGTAGAACACACATCTGGTGCTGTAGACCAGACCAGTGCCTTTTGTCAAGAAAGGCTACAGGCCCTAGTGGAGAAGCCATCATGAGTATATTGTTTAATGAATATAGTACACCTATTGGGATATCTTCTAGGCATCTGTATTTACATTCATGTTTGTTTAAATGTGCCTACTTCCTTTCATTTGTCTTTACAGTAGAAGAAACACCACTGAGATAGATCAGTGGCCATGGCCTAAAGATGACTAATGGGGAGGCCCAAGAAGCCACTCTCTCACCATGATACGAGATCACCCTACATCTATCACCCCCTCCAAGGCTCAGGGACTTTAGCGGAAGGAAAGATTGTAAGAGCGGAGGAAAGGGATGGAGTGTCTCCTGATTGGCTAGTTCCTCCAAGGGGCGAGGCCTGCCACAGAGTGTGGACTAAGGGGGTTGTGGCTGGGAGCCATCCTGGAGCAGAAGCAGTGAGCTGAGCGTGAGAAGCCTTGAGCCATGGGGAAGAGCAGCCGGGGAACGACACATGCAACAGCTGAAAGACAGAATGGACTGACTTTTATGGACCTGGGGGGATTGCTGGCCCCAGAGGCACGCACAGAATTATAGGAGTGGCACAGTCTGATAAGGCATGCTCTGAGGCTCTGGGCTAGGCACTGGATACTCATTCCTTTGTAAGTTAATAAATACACATAAAATGTATTACATGGTTTGTCTGATCACACAGGAGACTCAGAGAGAATTCGGGCCACTCCACCCCAGCCACTGGCTTTGACCAGAGTTAGCAACATTAAAGGACACATATAAAATGAAAAATGACTAGAATGTCATTACCCTAATGAAGCCACTCCTTCCATGTGTGAATAATGAGTTTGAACCACATTCATTCTTCCCCAGCACCCCTCCTCTTGCCAGTACAAACTTCCCAACAATCATCATTGCACATGACTTGTATCATTCATTAGAATATTTAAATTTTTTTCAGTACTGTGATTGAACCCAGGGCCATGCACATGCTTGACAAGTGCTGTACCATTGAACCACACCCCAGTTCCTTTATGTTGAAATAAAAACCATTGCATGATGAGTACCTCCCCATACACAGACAGACTTAGATTTTCTAAGCCAGCTCCTCTTTGTTGGGCCTGGTAACTGTTAGAAGGTCATTTTGCATGCAAAATACAAAATTTAGGTAAGCCTTTTTCAAAGCATTTCTCGAAGCAGTATCTGAAATGTTCTTCCTGTTCCTAAAATGCTGTCATTCCTCTCAGTTTTAACTGACTGCCTTTCAGTCATATTCTAGTCCTCTGTTCTCAGAATTAATAAATACACTTTTCAGAGATTCAAGAGGAAAGTAATTCTTGCTAAGGTGAGAAAAATAAGGGAAATAAGGGTCAAAGGAGAGGAAGGAGAAAGCAGAGTGCTTTATATCAGAGGGGAGCCAAATCCTGCCTTCACCCTGCAGGTGGAGATTACCGGGCAGAATTTCAAAAGCAGCATATGGGTAAGTTGGATGTCAGTGACTTCATGATTTTTCTGGAGGCTATCTTTGGAAATGACAAGCAGGTTCTAGTGCCAGGAGATGATGTGTCTGCCAAAACTAAAACAAAATAAAAATAAAAAATTGTAGCATGGATCTTTCTCCATGGAGGAGATGTTTAGCATATCTTTCCTTCAAAGTCTGCAATCACACTGGAAAACAAATGAGCAGTGCGTTCTGCTGACATGCTAATGGGCTTCCTCCCAGGAAGCTTTTCACAGAGTTCCTGGTGCCTGCACCTGCCTCCATTAG